ATGGCTGTGTAATCAAAGAGCGCAGGTGCTAGACTGGCCTGCCTTGAGTCCAGACTTTTCTCCTTCTGAAAACATGTGTCTTATTAAGCTTAAAATACAACAGGCCCTGTACAACTGCACAGCCGAAGACCTGTATAACAGCAGAATGGTAAAAAAGTCTGCTTTCAAAACTGGACCAGTTTGTATCTTCAATTCCTAAACAATTATAAGTGCTCTTAAAAGGAAAGGAGATGTAACATAGTTGTAAACATGCCTCTGTCCCAGCTTTTTTGGAATGTGTTGCCATCATCAAATTTAGAACAAGCATATATTTCCAAAAAACTATGAAGTTCATTAGGTAAAACATAAAATACTGTGTTGTGTACCGTTTTTAATGTAATAAAGGTCAAACAGATTTTACTAAATCACTGTGGTCCATTTTTAATAGCCTTTCAGAGTGCAGAGTGAAGGTCTTCAGGACCAGGGTTGAGCACAGGTATGGAGATAATTCGATTTGTTCACTTATTGACATTTGTGAATCTCTACACCACAGCCTTTCTCCCCCACATTTGCTTTTAGTCTAATACTATAGGCTGAATGCATGACACTGCAATACACAGTGTAACCACAGTTTAACTCAAAAACTCTGCGATTTTACAGATGTTGAAACATGATGCATGGACACAGTACACACAATGCTGGAAACATGGCAAATGTCTGTTATGTGTTGTTACCAAATGAAGTAATTTTTAGGTTGATCCAACGAGGCATTTTTTACAGTATAATGTGTACCAAATCCTGGATAATTTACAAATCTAATCAGCAAAAATCTGTTTCAAGATCTTTAAAAACAGCAATTGTTTCTAAGTATAGTTTATGAAGCACGCTCATTATGACTTTCTTGTGGAATTTTCCAAACCAGGGGCCAGCGCAGCCGTCACACCTCAGTAGATGTCGCACTTGTGGATTATTTTATTAATGGCTAGATTCATTATTTTGGAGTGACAAGGCAGGGCAGCCTATGAGAGTGCCTGATGTCACTAGGCTGGCTGAATGGCTGCACTTGGAGAAAGGCTTTTGGGAATGTGGACAATTGCTAATTGGATGAGGGTTTCATTGGCTGGCGAGGGAACAGGCCTTTATGCAGCCGGACTGATAAATGGGATGGGAGCCGTTATGCCTGTGCCCATGTTTGCTGTGTGGGTGGGCTGACTGTATACCCCCTCCAACTTTCAATAGGTCCCATCTATGCATCAGAGAAAACAAAACAGAAAAAAAAATTGCAATAAAGCTAGAAAGGGAAAGAAGATCCAGTTTCATGCCCTGTTGCCAAACAATGCAACTATTTGTCTATCCACAGAAAATACATTTATACACCTTCATGGTGGTTTGAATACAAAGGCAAATTAAAGTGTAACTTGTATGAAGATGCCAGCCTTGAACCCTCCTATAGTCCAGGTATGAAAAATTCAGCAAACCAAAACTGAAGAACTGCCTCATCTTACACTATCAAATATGGCATGAAAAGGCAAGTTTTTAAGCTCATACTCAATAACTTTTGTGCTGACCATAAAGATATTTGCTCATTTGTATCCCAGAATGCACTGGTTGGCAACTCACTTGTAATGCTGGTTTGTTTAAGCGTTCGGATCACAGATTCCAGTGTATAGCGTGTGTACGATTTGCTGGACGGTTGCCAGTTCTTGTGAGCCACAGAAGCACAGCTAGAACGTTAAGCTACTTGCATTTATGAAACTAGTCTTTAATTCAGATAAATCTGCTTCAAAGATTAAAAACAGGTTATAGCAACACACATTCTAGGCAAGAGGTGTTTGAAGTGAACTATGACTTAGTTTCTGCTGAAAAGAAGAAAAAAAGCTTGGTAGTTATAGATATATATATCAAATTCTGCAAACATTTGTCCAAAAAAACATTAATTTTGCTTCCTAAGTTTCAGCTCCCAAGAGCATTCATCTAAATTATTTCTGAGTGGCAGTCACTCATAAATACTTCATGCTGCCAGTGCTTGAAGAACTGCATCGTCAGTGAACAGCTCAGGCCTTAGTCAGTCCGTAACAGCTTGAATCACTGAAACGAGGGGAGCACTAAGCTCTGTTCAGAACCTCACTGTTCACAGCACCCAACTGGACATAATCATTCCCTCTAAGTCACCACCTCAATGTACATAGGAGCACAAAGAATGTCCAGCAGGGATTTCCACTGGCTGAACAGCAGCGTCCAGGCCTCGCTCTATAGTTTCATAACGCTGTCCGTGTCTCAGAGGGTATTAGCACTGTATAGGCTGCATTGAACAATTGCCAACTGACGCAAGGCTGAATGGAATGTGCCTGGTTCATGGCATTTGCCCACAACTAAGATCTGTGATCATATGTAGATGGCAATATTGTAAACTGCTGAAGATCAGTGTACAACTTGAGAACATGTCAGAAGGCCACACTGGCAGCAAGTGCTTCTTCCACGGTCTGAAACTCTGGCTTGAATGGAAGATGAGGAAACAGAACCACATGGTTATGAATCAGAGGGTTGAAAACACCACTTTATGAATAACATGAGTCTGCAAATGATCAGATCACGAACACAGACATCTGAATGCACTGGTGCATCTTACACAAGCTGCCTCACTGGTGCATTTTTAGCCAACATGTTTTGGAGTTCATTCTGGAGTTATTCTCATTCAAAGTCACATTGTTTAGATCTGATTTATTAGCTATAAACTTTCTCGAAGACAATTTCTCTCTGTTGCTAAAAAAAAAAAATTATCACCCCATCATGAGCCAGTGCGAGAGGGTTTTCATTCCATTCTTTACAAACAATGATGTGTAAACAGTAAACAGGAATTCCAACCATCTTCCATCTTTCTCAGGGCTCTTAAGTGCTGGCTCACTTGGCCTCCAACCCTTCTTAGCATTTTGCAACAATTCCAAGTGTCCAGCTTACCAACTGGCCTGCTCTAGAATCACTTTACAGAAAGAGAGAGAAAGGCTAATATTATAAAGGCCAAAACAATGAAGACTTGTAACTGACATAAAACATTCTCCCAGACCCACTTCTCATGTACTGCTGAATCACTATAGCTTTTAGATGCAAGGGTCTCCAACCCAGTCCTTTAAGACCCCCAGTCCCCATTTTTCTAATAGTTCAGCTCTTGATTACCTGACTGAGAAGTGTTAGGAGCTGCAACACAGAATAAATGGAGACAGGCTGGGAGATTCCATAGAACAGAATTCCGGGGGAAAAAACTTTTATCAGTGTGCTGACAGAACATGGTGACAGAATAGTTCACTGATCTCAGCTCGTACAGGAGTTTAGGGGGGGTGTATTCCACATATGTACATGTATGGTACTGTGCACAAGTCTTGGGTACCTGAGAAAATGTCATTTAAACAGCTCTTTATCTGAGGGATGCACAATGGTATCAGATTCATATCAGTGCTGCTTAAAAAAAAACAGACAGAGGTTTACATTTGACCAGTATTTCAAACTAATATTCAGTGATATATTTACTTCAAAAGAGCAAAATTTTCATACGCTGGGCTGCTGTGCTAAAACATCTGCGTTTTATTCATTTTACTGCATCCACCCTATAGAGACATTGTTTTTGTAATTCTAAATCAGGTAGATGCAGTGTCAATTTATACATTTTTATGCATCAACATCGGCAGATGCGTGCATGAAAATGCTGGATACTGGCATCAGCACACACTTCCCAAATCAGTGCATCTGTAACTTATCTGGGCAGAGTTTATTCATCCAGCAAAACATTCGAATAAATACAAACACACTTATACAACAAGTAGTAGTCTTGTGTGTGTCAACGTGTTTTACCACATTAATATTACTTTCAATTTATTCTAGTGCAATATGGTGTTTTTTACATGCAAAAACACACTTTTTAACCTGGATTAATGGCTTTAAACAATTTGCTTAGGAGACTAAGACTTTTGCAAAGTACTGTATGTACCAAAACCATATTTAGCATGCAGCCATCCAGACAGCCTACCCAGAGTCCGCTTTATAAACACTGCTGGGAATTATATATATATAGTCCAGCTACCAAACCTGCTCAGTCTTGCCATATCATTGGTATCCTCCATAGTCTTCTCCCACACCTTGAAAAAAGACGGTTCTTCAATTGTTCTTTAGCAAAGGCAATGGTTCTATATAGAACCATGAACATTAGAAGAACCACTTGCATGTGAAAAATGTGGAGAACCATTTCACCATGCAAAGAACCATGTAAGCATGAAATGCTTCTATACAGAACCATTATCTGTACTTAAGAACCTCTGAGGAACCATCTTTTTAAAGAGTGTATAGCGTTTTAAGGGCATTCAGGAATGGGAATGGATAACTTCGGACAAGCTCCAGCAAAAAGCCTTTTTCAGACCCCACTCTCAGCGCACACAGGCGGCCTCATCGATACGTCCGCACGGCGAGGAAAGCAGAGCGAGCTAAAGACACAGTGGACACTCCAGAGCTCAGCAGCAGCGGCTCAGTGTTGTGGTTCACCGCGGCGGGTCTAACCGTTTTCTTGGAAGCTTTCTGGAAGTCACTGAGCTGAGCAGCAAGAAGGTGAGACGACATGCTAAACTGTTCGCCTGAACAAGCCAACATTTGAACAGTGAACGGTTTTTTACACTTTACACTTTACAGTCGAGCACGTGAGCAACGAGATTTTAACGAATAAAACTCGACAGAAGAAAAAAGAAGGGAAATGCGCATAAAGTCTGACAGAAAACTCTTACTAGACCGAACACCTCACACTTTTCTCCTAATATTTGTTTGTATAGTTACAGAGTTCTAAAGATAAAGCGGTAAGCCTCGGAGTTAGTCGGTTAGCACACAAACCCCTCAAACCCCGGCGCCGAAACCCCCACAGTCCGCCCCTGTCTGTGTGAAACCAGCCAGGCACAGCTTTCTGAAAGGGGCTCAGAAACCTTTAACGTTACCTGTCGGTGACTTTTTAGAGCAATACCAACAAAACACGTCGCTGTTCTCACCTCAGTCGTCTCAGTCCGAGCCAACGGTTTTCTCCGGCGAGTGCAGTCAGTTAAATGAAGCTCCTGCTTTCGCTCCCCGAAGACTGATATTCCCCAGGACATGCACACATACTCTCTCTCTCCCTCTCTCACCCGCTCATTCTCGCTCTCTCTCACTCTCACTCATTCTCTCTCAGCTGACTCTCCCAACACACACACACACACACACACACATACACGCACGCACGCGCGCCGCGCTATGTCCGACTCACGAATGAATCGTTCCTTTGAACCGACTCTTTTCAATGACCAGGTCGAACCGATTCACAGGTTCTCTTCTGTAGCTCCACTGTAAGTCAGTGTTACAGATAGACATTTTGAAATTAAATACTTCGTGTCCGCCGCCGTGAGGAGCTGAGTGGACTGTGGCCATGCGGCCATGCAGGGCGGCTCCCGGGACGCGACACCACTCCTGAGTGGAAAACGTTTGTTGTGGTGGTGGTGTTGATGTTGCTGCTGGGGTTTAAGTTATTTCACAAAGCAGAATTTCTCAGTTAGCCAGATAACTTAAGCCCAAAGACGAAGATCGTCCAATAAGAACGCCCCTCAGCTCGTTTCCTATTGGACGTCTGCTCAAGTTAATTGGCTAAAAAGAGAAATCCTGCTTTGTGAAATAACTCTCTGGTTTGTTTGTAGTTTTTGGCGTACTGTGTCCTGTAACGGTGGGCTTTGTGAGTGGGTGTCGTGTCCTCCCGCTCCCCTCTCAGAGTGTGGTGCTGAGGTTAGCGCTGAGCATTTCGCTGCCTAATTGAACTGCCTGTTAAATATAAAAGAGCATTTCGCCCGTCCCGCCATGTTGTCTGACTCTTCTTCTGTGCAGATGCTACATTTTTTAGTCTAAAAAATTAATCTGATAAAAGCATGAAATACTACATCACAATATTAATAACTTTAAATTTGGTTACACTTTTCTTGCCACTTCTCATTCTCTTTTGGAGCTTTTTTTCCTGTCTCCCTCAGAGATGCTAATTTTCAATCTGTCAGTTTCTATAAAGCAAATGTTTGATTCGTCCAATTAATCGATTCACGAGTCAACTTTATGGAAGCCAACAACAATCTACAAGGAGAAAACATAACAGACCTAAAAATTAGGGGTAAATGGTGAAAAGTAGGCCCTTCACAATTATCACAGTTATTTTCCACAGTGAAACGGATCCATTCTCATCAGTTCAGTCGAGGCAAAATAAAAGAAACACTGAGTCACTGAGTTATGGGTCTTACAGAAACAACACAAGTTCTAACTTCTAACTGTTCGCTATAACACATTTAAGGAAATGCTTGTTTTTCTTAGTTCGCTAGATAGCTAATGCTAATTTCTGCATCTATGCTTTGTTTTTTGCAAACATTTTTACAGTTTCAAGAAAAAAACATGAGCTTTGGTTGACTGCACGAGTCTCTGTATCTGTAGACGTGATTCTGTGGACACACAACACTGCAGTGCGTGATTTCAAGAAAGACAGCTAATCAGCCGAGTTAGCCGCTGCATAGTTAACAAAAAGCACAACTAAATCATTAATCGCAATTCTTTACATGACAATTAATCGCCAGCTTAAGTTTCATGACCGTGACAGGCCTAAGAAAAGTGATTTTTGACTTAAGTCTTCGAACTGTAACCCGAACACAAACACTGTGTAGCAACAGCTACAGAAACGTCTGATCGACTTAGTACTCGGTAGTCGGTTCGACCGATTCATCGAAAATATCCGATTCGACAGAGACGTTCGTTGACTCGTTCTCCGCCAGGCCCCTCCCACTCCCCCACTCACGCTGAGGCACTTCTGAGGGAGCCTTTAGCAAACCTAGTCTCTCTCCACACTTCCCTCACTTTCTACACTTTCACTCGCTCCCGTCTTCAGCAAAGCGCTCTTCTGTGTCTATTCTCCGCCGTCCAGGCGCGGCTTAACGGAGTTTCACTGAAAAGAGAGGGAAGGAAAGCCTCGTTTTACCTCATTTGAAGAGAAGGAACGCGCCTCGTTGACTCGAGCCGAAGTTGCACGGCTGTTGGTAAGCACAAGAGCCCCGCCCACCACGGCGGGAGGGGCGGCAACCACCCCCTCTCCAACCAATAGCGTGCCGAATTTCGGCCAGACCCCCGAAATGGACCAATGCGCGTGTTGGATAAGCCGAGCGCGTGATCTGGCTCTGACCCACGTAGCATGTTGCAACCTTTTATTATTCGCGGCTGCAGAGTTTTCTACACGCAGCTTGTGCAGGTTTTGTTGGTTTAACTCTGTTCAGAAGAACCAGAATGGATATTAATTTGGAATAAAAGGGAGATAAACACCTTATAAACGTCAGTGTGTCCTGAATAGTGTTTTTTGTTTTGCCTCCAGCCTACATGTTTATCTGGAAGATCCCACGGCTGGAATGAGTGGAATAATCCCAGTTCAGTGTTCTTGGGACAGTCCCTGTTTTCTCTAAGCAGAATGTGCCTAGGGCAGTCCCTTTTCCCTTTAAGCCCAGTATTTTTAGGGCAGTTCCAGTTCTCTTTAAGTTCACTGTCCTTGGGCAGTCCCTGTCCTTTCTAAGTTTAACATTCTTGGGCCAGTCCCTGTTCTCTTTTGGAAAACTTTGCCCTGCCTTTGCCAATGCAAACAGTAAATTTAACCAGTCAAGTTAAATACGGTTCACAGGGAATGGTTTTTAGAATTCATGCGGGCAGTGAGAGCAGTCTCCGGGCCTGCTCGTCTGCAGCCTCCCAGACTAAACCTCTCAAATGTACACAGAACACATCAAATGAATGCTGTCTTACAGAATTCATAGGAGCACTGTTGTAGCTACAATTTATTGTATTGTGTTTTATTAAAAACTTGTAATTTTTTCGGTGACTATTCTACACCATTGGAAACACCAGCACCCTTTATTATGTGAACAGTTCATAATGAATGGACCAATTACATTAAATTCCATTGCATTAAAGTACATTAAAGCTGAAATTTCCTTCTATATCTCCTTGAGGTTTTTAAAGCCAAATAATGATAATTTTTTCAGAGACAGTAAATTTTATTCAGTGGTGTATAGATAATTATCTTTAACCAATATAAAGAAAATAAAAATGATGTGGTCACTGATAGTGGAGGTAACAATTCTGAAACCGAAACCGAAACAGGGGATACAAACGTCCACCGTCTCGTGCGTGGGTCTGTCTCCTGGACCAGTGCAGACCGTTGAACTCACATTACATTACTAATGTAACAAAACTAGTTTTTCATCTCACATTTGACACTATGACAAATGTGTATCACAACCTTATTATTATTATTGTATTTAATTTTAGGACAAGCTGTATACCATGTATCATCTTTAGTGTCCTTCTCTTTAGTGTTCCAAATTGGTGGTGATTTAATAAAACCAAGAAATTTTTTCCTCCTTTTTTCCTTATTCACCCCCCCCCAATCAGAACTGAACCGTACATTTGGAGAATCATTACGCCTCTAGTCATTGATTTTAAGCACACGCATACAGTCACTACTCAAATTGAGGTTTCAAATATTAGAGAGTGTCCCAACATTTAAATATCTTGGAATGGAGGTAGATAAATTTGCACACTCTGTGACATCCAAAGCAAAAAGGTGCAGCAGAGAGGGTGTAAATGCATATAATGTCAATTTTTATGTTTTTGCTAATTTTTTATAACTGCACTCCAGAGTGTCCTGACTTTTGGTCTGATGTGTGTGTTTCGGAACATGTGTGTCCGAGACCGAAACAAACTCCAGACAGCGAGTAGGATTAAAGGAATTGAACAGTTGCCACTTTCTCAGCTCTACACTGACCTTCTCTAAATAAGCTTCAATGTGTTATCAAAGACCCCACCATCCTTTACATCAGACACTTAAAATGAGAAAAAGGGCTAGAATGGTGCAGAGTAGAGTTTAAACAGTGTTTTGTTCCTGCTGCTATAAATATATTCAACAGTCCAACACAATGTGTTTTTGTGGTCAGTGGTGTTTTTGTAATTTTTTTGTAGTAGTTTATTGTTTACATTGGGTGTGTGGGGGGGTACTTTGTGTAGTGGTATTGGTTTTAGTACTGATGTGTGGATATGTGTATATGTGTCTGCATTATTGACCAACTGAATTTCCTAAATGGATTATAAAGTTGACCTGACTATAAAGTTGACCTGACTATAAAGTTGCCGTTCCTGACATACAAGATTTTGTAATGGCAATAATATGTTGTACATACTTGTTTCCCACCTCATACTGCCTTTACCCTCACTGTATTGATCTTTACTTCTCATGCAGGCTGCTGTTTGTTTGATTCTATTGTGTAGGAAGGGATCAGTACACAATCTACTGGAACTGGACTTGGGTTGTTGTTGCTCATGTTGAAATTTATTCAAAAAAAGATTACAAAAAGGTTGAATTTGGAAAAACACACGATGCACTGGCTCACAATTAACAAAAAAAGCTGGCAGGCCAAGCTGTTTATTTTGTTGAAGTTAAAAATGTTCTTGTTGCCTGGCCCGCATCAGACTTCTTCAAAAAATGAGAAAGTGAGCCGTCAGTTCCCAACGATGCTCACATTCTGTGTTTGCCTTGGAAACAGTTGCCTATTGTCTTTCAGCGGGGGCATGTAGCCCCAGTGAGTAAGCTGATAGTCTCCGTGTCCCTGAGAAATTGCTGGAGCAGCCCAGCCCTGGGAAAACACCGCAGGTCTGCACCGTCCAAAAGGTTAATTATCTGGAACTTTCCCCGACCGAGGCTGAAGTGGAGCAGCCTGCTGACAGAGAAGAGCTGCGGAGGGATGGGATCAACACTGGGGTCACAATGCGCTGACCTGTCGTTAACTGTATGAGATAAAGAGGGACAAGCAGACTCCCTTATTTTACAGGTGTGTACTTTAATTACATTTAAGTACACACACTGTGTACTTGAGAAGCACAGATCGCATCCTTTTTTGACAGGTCGAAGGTGGACAATGAGTGGACCTGGCAGCTGAAAGATGCTTTTAAGTGATTTGAAATGGCAGCTTGTTGAGTCGGGCAGTTGGGCCCAAGCTGAAAGAAGTGAACAGCTTTAAATGCAAACTTCATGCTAGTTGAGATCTGAAGTCATGAATCGCAAAATCAGGATGCATTTTTCATTCGGACTATGATTTATTTTTGAGGGAAACAGTATCAAGGAGGGTCTTTGAGCCAGCTGAGCTCTATCACTGCTAAGTGGTGGTGGAACATGACATTTGAACATG